TGTAACCAAATATGGCATTCCAAACAATGGTCTGAAGACTGGACAAAATCTACAATAACGACCATACATAAAAAAGGCAGCTTCCACAAATGCGGCAATTATAGAACTATCTCTCCTATATCCCATGCCAGCAAGATAATGCTACATATAATCAATGAGACTGAAAACATTCTTTCAAAGAGAAATTCCACAAGAGCAAACTGGATTTACCAAAGGTAGAGGCGCTCGAGAACACCTGCTGAATATCAGACAGATAATCGAGATATCTAGGGAATTCAACATCCCACTATACATCTGTTTTATAGATTACCGTAAAGCGTTCGACAGGGTCAAGTGGAGATACTTATGGCGAATACTAAAAGAAGTAGGCGTACCACAACATCTAATTACGCTGATAACTGAACTATATGAACACACTACTGGATCAGTTAAAGTACTTGACACACTTTCGAACAAAGTTTCATCCAGAACGGGGTGTCAGACAAGGATGTATACTATCTCCACAATTATTCAACATATATGGAGAGTATATTATGCGAAGAGCACTTGAAGGATGGGAAAAGGGCATCTCAATAAATGGTCATAAACTAAACTACCTACGTTTCGCAGATGACACAGCCCTTCTAGCAAATAGTCAAGCAGAGCTGATGGAACTTATACGACTGATCGAAAACGAAAGTCAAATATTTGGTCTGCAATTAAACATATCAAAGACAAAGATCATGATAGTGGATAGACTACACAACAATCATCCACACATAACCACAATTGACCGGTTCGAGGTTGTGAGCTCATACTTATATCTGGGATTATTAATCACAAACACAGGGTCATTACAAGAAGAGATTAAACGTAGATGTGATCTAGCAAAAGTTGCCACAGCAAAAATGACCAAAATATGGAAGGAATGTCAAATTTCAAGAACGATAAAGATGAGGTTGATTAACTGCTTAATATTCCCAATACTGACCTACGGATGTGAATCTTGGACACTGAGACAATCGGAGAGAAAAAAGATAGACGCCACTGAAATGTTCTGTTGGAGACGAATGTTACGAATTCCTTGAACCGACCGTAGAACAAATAATTTAATTTTAAGAGAGCTAAAAGTTAGCTAACGACTCTCTAGTAAAGTCCATCTCCAACAATTACAATATTTTGGGCATGTTATGAGAGCAAACACAGAAAACATGGAATGACTCATAATACAAGGAAAGGTAGAAGGCCGAAGATCACGAGGAAGATCCCCAACAAGATGGATAGATCAAATTACAGGAATATGCCAAAGACCTATGCATGAATTAAAAGAAATGACCAGAGACAGAGATCTCTGGAGACGGACAATACACGACATCACGTCGACCACTACACTCCCCCTGGGGGGTCAGGATTGAAGAGAGAGATAATACCTGTCTAAACATTCAACTTTTGAAGATACTGAGTGTGTGTCTCGCGCATCCAATGAGGATTCTCCGCTGACCAATATCTACAATTTTGTCGCTTTACCTCTCCGTTCAATGTAAATGTTGATTCATCGGAAAAAAGAATTGTGCCACGAGCTATTTCATTTGTGTTAATTTTATCCATCATTCTTTCGCAGAAATCCATTCTACAATCTGGATCGTCTTCTGTTAGCTCCTGCACAAAAGTAAATTTATACGGATAAAGTTTTTCTTCATGGAGACACCTTACGACAGTTGTGTGACTCACACGTTGGATTCTCTGCGACACTTAACAAAATATCCACTTTTACCTCTTCAATGAAGTTCGGTTTTCTTTTTAATGGTTTAAACATGTCCAAGTTCTCTGAATTGTGCATAAATTTTAGACACAGTACCTTGATTAAATAAGTTTGCTACTTAAACTTGGCCTCTACAATTCTTCCCGTAACCGATCATCATTAAAATCTCAGTTCGGTGGGTCTCAGTTAAATATTTCATTTTCATTTCTGCCAGAAATTAGCTTTTAATTAGGAATTTATTATTTTAATGTAAAATGTCAACACACCAACAACTGCTTGATAACAATCCGCATTATTTACCGATTTAGTTTAACAGACTATCTAGACAGTTTTACCTATTCATGACAAAAAATATTAACACGGCTACTAAACAGAAATTTTCCCCAATATACTAATACCTATATTGGGTATATTGTCTCCAAAAAACTGGAGAAAAAAGGCACGAAACAGATCAGAATGGAGAAGAATCCTGGAACAGGCCAAGACCCAAAAAGGGTTGTCGAGCCAGTGATGATGATTAATACGTGATAAATTATTAATTTCAAAATTTCACCTGTATTATTCATTATAGACCCTACATGATATAGTTCGCGGAAATCAGGATGTTAAGAATCTTTTAAGAACATAAAAATATACAGGGTGTTTAATTAAAAATAAGGATTATGGACTATGCCAGACTTGCCTGGATCACCCTGTACATTTAAATCTATGCTTAAAAAGCGCACATTTAAATTTAAAAGTTAAGGTGTACTAGAGTTTATTATTTTCTATAATAAGGACAGAAACAATTTTATTGCATAAGTGGTTTCCACACTGTTTTATAATAATAATAGGAGAATGTTTTGCAATTCAATAATCTTGAAATTTCCAAATTTTTTGATAGGCTTCTACCGAAGCTACAAACACACGAACGACAAATTATTTTTATATGCAAGTATAAGAAATGCTTTATAAAAGTGAAAGGATATCATAAATGAAAGATTTTGAAAAAATCAAATAAAATATTTTACATTCCATTTTTCCGATTGTTTCGACGATTTGATTTTTTGTTGTTCGCCCTGTATACGAATATTCGTCAAGGATTTCCTTAATTTGAAAACTAGAACATATTATTAACCTTATTATGTAAAATGAATAATTATTTATGTACTCTTTCTTTATATACAGGGTGTTAATTTCATAACGCTATCGAAATAAAAATGGTCATAACTCGTTAAATACCCTGTATAGTAGTGTAGAACTTGATATTATAAGAACAGCGATGATCTAAATATGAGAAAATATACAGGGTAACCTTTTCAAAAAAATTATGTTTGCTTTACCACGTAGTTATTAATCAACACCCTGTAGAATTCGGCATATTTTCCAAGAATGGAGAAATGCCTACATTTTTTCTAAATAATTTGCCCACCAATCACCATCATCATTGGTGTTACAGCCCTATAAAAGAGCCTCGACCTTCCCAAGTCTATTACGTCAATCAGTTCTATCTATTGCGAACTGTTGCCAGTTTGCTGCGCCTATTTTTCTACCATCCTTATCTACACCATCACTCCATCTGAGTTTTGGCCTAACCCTACTTCTATTTCCCATAGGTTGTGACATAAGGATTCTTCTGGGAGGGTTGTTCTGCTGTGATCTTGTCAGATGTCCTGCCTATCTTAGTCTTCCTACTTTTATAAGAGATACTGCGTCTTTACCACCAAATATATCTTTATATCTGTGATCTCGAAGTGGTGTCTCCTTCTTCAAACACCATTTTCACAGATGCCACCGAATATTCTCAGGATCGTTCGTTCAAATATAAGCAGGAGGTTTTCATCTGCCTTGGAAATGGTCCATGACTCCAATTCATATGTCAACACTGGTAGTATAAGGGTTTTGTTTATGGTTATTTTTGTTTAAGTTTCTGCTTCTCATATGTCTACTCAATCCAAAATAGCATTTGTTTGCTAGGATTATTCTTCGCTTGATTTCTTCCGTCATGACATGTGAACTTGTCCACCACTTCAAAGGTAGAGTTATGCGGGCAACTAGGTCAACATCATCTGCATATGCCAAAATTTGGGATAATTTATTAAAAATGTTTCCTCTGTTGTCTATTTGGGCATCCCTGACATAGCATCTTTTCCAGAGCTATGTTGAAAACGAGACAAGCTAGCGCATCTCCCTGTCGCAGCCCAACATGCGTTTCAAATGCCTGTGATTGTTCGCCCTGTATTTGGACTTTGCAAACAACTTAACGCATTATAGCCTTAACCAATATTATCAGCTTATCGGGGATGTGGAATTCATCCATGGCTTCATACAATTTATTTCTTAGGACACTATCATAGGCCGATTTAAAATCTACAAAAATATGGTATGTGTCGATATTGAATTCATTGGTTTTTTCCAGTATTTGCCTTAGCAGAAAGATCTGGTCTGTTGTTGATCGATCAGGCCTAAAACCAGTTTAATATTCGCCAAGAAGCTCCTCTGAATATACACTCAGGCGACCATATAAATTACTCGAAAATATTTTGTATGCTGTAAGGAGGGTTATTCCCCTATAGTTTCTACATTACAATTGATCCCCCTTTTTGTGTAGAGGACAAACGATCCCAATACATTGTTGACCAATGTCGCACTAAAAACTCACCCTGATGTCATCGAGTACCATAGTCGGAAGACTAGTACTCACTTCCGATTCGCATCGCGCCACCTCGAATTTTCCCATTGGCTCTTGACCTGGAAATCCCTATTTATCGCTCGAACAGCGGATATAAATAATATTGACGATTTTCAGGTCAGCCAGATCAGTCCCTTACGGGCTCTTCGAGAGCTTAATGCTCTCGGGGCTCTGCTCCTGTCTATTTTCCATACTCTATGGCTGAGAGTTATTATTCGACTATAAGTTTGGTATTATTATTTCGACAGTCTTTTGTCATGTAAGAAAATATCTTGCCTTTAGGAAGGCAAGTTACCAGAAAAGAAATATTTACAAGTCCATACCCTGGAAGTGGACTTAAGTAGAGGAGCTCTGGAGAGTATATTCGAAGCCCTCTACAGAGCGTCCGGGGGCTTTCAAAAGGCGATTAGACCCTTATTTACCTCCACGAGATGACACTGTATGTACATTTATTTTTATTAACCCTATAAAGCTGAATACTGGTTTGTTAATTTTTCGTATGTACATAAATATATTAATTTATATTTTAAAACAGACGATCCAGCAAAATTTAAGAAACATCTAAAGTATTATAATGATTTATCTTACCTCGGCAATCCTCCATTCATGTGAAGAAGAGGTGGGGGATAACTGCTTTGTGATGCTTGATGATAATTGTTTTGGCTTGCATTCGGTTCAATTATCATATATCCGCCAGTTGCTGCTTTGCTTTGAGCATTATATTGCGCCAACCTGTAACACAAAAAATAAACAAATGAAATACAAGCATTTAGCGAATAGAAAAATATAGCTCATGCATAAAAATATTCGATTCCAGGATTATACACTAAAAACAAGCAAAAGGTGCATGACCTTGTTTATCTTTTAAAAATCTTTGATACAAGTTATAGCTCGTTGGTTCTGAAATTATTTTCTTGTACAGTTGAGTATCAGACACTAAATTCCAGAAAACTGTGATAACCATTCTGAGTTATTCGTGGTCTTCCAATGGCGTACAATTTTTTGTACGCCAGTGCGGAGTGAATCGGCAAAATCATTACATATGTAAGATATAGGTAAGAGAGAGAGACAGAAGATAATATTTTCTCTCTCGAGAATAAAAATGTTCCTTTTGTAAATATATTTAATATTTATTAATATTATTATTATTTTTTCTTTCTGTTCAGATTTGTCTTGAGCCTCGTTAGGCATGTTTAATATTATAATTAAAACTTTAGATATAAATATCTCAAGAAACTTCAAATGTGTACTTATACACACAACAAACAACAATGAAATTTTGTATCTGTTAATGTCAGACAAATTGACAGTTGTATCACGAGACAATATTGTATTAATATTATTATCATGGTAAATTAAACATATGCGTAAGTAAGTTATGTATATTGTTATTTTTAAATACTTATGAACACCGAATTTTAATTTGTATTGTATTATTATATTGAATTATGTTGCAGTGTATTGTATTGTATTTTTATATTAATAACAAAATAAACAATGAATTTTACTGCAGAGTATGTGTAAAAATTTTTTTGCATTCAACTCCTTTCATACAGATATGCAAATAAAAATATACATTTTCATCAAAATATTGATTATATTATTAAATATATTGAATCAAAATATTGATTCAATCCTTCATTTACTATACCCCTATTGTCAAATGTTGTTTATATACAGCAAACGATGCACCATATACCTATATACGTAATTCTGTTTCTCTTTCTGCCCTCTCTTACCTATAGCATTACATATGTAATGATTGTGCAGATTGATCATATAAATTTGTAACGGCGAAAGCGTGTATAGAGGTATAACTAATACCGGCAGTCCCACTGGACTACCACATCCGTTTTTTTTTGTAGAGTTAGAGATAGCGCTACTTGTATTCAAGAATTTTACAAATTAAATGTACCACTAGTGTCTCCCTAGCGCTAACAAATTTCTGCCAAGAAACAAATATGTAAGGTCGGCCATAATTCAACTGAATAACTTAGACACCGGATTATATAGACCAACAAAAAGGCAAAATATGCATACAGTATGCTCAAATCAAGTAAAATAATAAAATTATCAAAATCAAATTTACGTTAAGATGTGTAAGAGGTAAAATTATTTTGTGATAAACCCTTGAATGTCGATATAGCAGATACACAAGATCTGGTATTTTTCAGTTTTTTAGTTAGCTCATGCTAATTCATATAATTTGTCCTGGATATAAAACCTTGTTATCTTATTTTTAACACCATTATCAAGTATACATGTAGAACCTTACAAAAAAAAAAAAAAAAAAAAAAAAAAAGGTATTTGCCAAGTTTGCTAAAAAAAATTATCAGTAAACTGATACAGTAAAGATATTTCTACAAGTTTCTTGTATTTAGAATTAGTTTTTTATCAATCGTTTCATAATATATCTTAGAAATATATGTTAATTTTAACTATAAAATGCGTTAGGCTTTCACGGCCATCGTCTAACTTATTAAACTGTTTGTTCGGGCTGTTAGCCGTTGTCTTCTGAGATCCTGAATCTCATACGACAATGGCCTAACAGCCCGAACAAACCGTTTAACAAATTTCAACTACGTTCTCGAACTCCCCTTTAAGCATTCAAAGAAACTATTAACATTACCTCAAACTTTGTTTTCAAACTTCCACAAAATTCATTTTAAACTCTTATCACTACAGCTGTTTCGGCTGATTGCCTTTCTCAAGTGATATATTTTTGGCATGCGTTTACACTTTTATAGTCTTTCATGAAATAGGTTGAGGAGGGGGGAACTGTTTGTCTCAAGTTGGTCATTCAGAATTATATATGTGTTTTTTAATTTGTTGATTTCCATGGAAATCAACAAACTTGCATCTAGTTATGCTCTATTCTCCATAATACTTATGTAGTCTGTACGTCGGTGGTCTTCCTCTGGCTTTTCTTATCTTTACGGGCCATCCATTCCAATAATCTTTTAGTCCATCTATCATCGCTGAGCCGTGCTATATGTCCTGCAAATCTCCATGTTAGCCTTGAGATTTTTTCTATGATGTCTTTTTTTCTATTCCCGTTCTTCTGCGAATCTTTTTATTCTTATAGTGGTCTGTAAGTTTAATTGTCAATATTGATCTTTCCATTTTCCTCAGTTTATTAGCATTCTTTTTAGTGAGCGTTAGTGTTTCGACTCGATATGTTTTAACTGAAAGCACACATTGATTGTATATCTTGTTCTTAAAGCTAACAGGGATTTCAGTATTAAATGCGTCCTTAAATCTGCCCAGAGAATAACCAATTATTGTTTGTATTTCTTGTGTCTGGTTGATTACGAGAAAACGTTTGATCGAGTACAGCACGCCAAGATGATGCCAATACTAAAAGAAACAGGAATTAACCAAAATCTGAAATTAGAAATCTTTACTGGAATCAGACAGCAAATCTCAGAGTTGAAGGTGAACACACTGACTAGGTGACACACATGGAGTTAGGAGGCTGTATTTTGTCTTCTCTAATCTTCAATCTGTACTCTGAAAGAATATTGATCGAAGCTTTGCAGGAAACTAAAAAAGGTATTCTACTAAATGGTTACCGGCAAAACAACATCAGATATGCAGCAATGTCAGAGATAACACCATAGTATTTGCGGACAACTTAGAATACCTACAAGTTCTTATGAACAAAATCACGTATTACAGTCAACAATAAGGGTCGCCGCACACAGAAAGAGCAAAACTGTTTTAGTCAAAACCGTTTTTGACTAAACGAGTTCTGATGCTGATGTTTCCATATAAAATGAAATGAGCTGACGCACACTGATTAGTCGTGTGTCTAAATCATGTTTAGGCTCATTTAGTTTTAGTCAGTCTGTTTGATGTTGATTACCGGATCGTCGTTTTGTGTCGAAACATTTCAATGTACGCAGACACAACATGTTTTTGGAATCCCCTTCTTGAAACCGCTCGCGTAGTCAACAAGAAGCACATGTGGAAACAACGATATTTTGCTTGTTTATATTGTGTGTATCATGGAAGTGGACGCAGCAGAAAAAATTTATTGTATGATTGAGGCCAGACCCCTTATATAACTATCAATTAAAAGATCATCACAATCAAAATTTGAATCAAAAAGACTGGAGAGTTTTTTCAGCAGTTCTTTTCTTATTTATAGGATTCACCAAAAATTGTCTTTTATTTTGCGTTTTTTCGTCCTGTAGGAGGAACCACTGCCAGAAAACTAGTGCAATTTCGTCGTTATCTGTCGACATCTTTAATAAAACTGATTTCAGTATGGTTTGTGCAAACATTTTGTTTCTCTTGAAAACAAAATGTTTCTTTTGGAAACAAAAACGTTTTCGTTTCAAACAAAAACGTTTTTGACTAAAACAGTTTTGCTTTTTCTGTGTGCGGCCACCCTAAGTTGACGTTAGAAACAGTCAACGTTAAGAAAACAAAGCTTATGATAATTAGCAATAAAAGGATAACAGAAGGTCAACTCTACGTCAACCAATACCCTGTAGAAAGAGTGACGCACTTCAACTACCTCGGCACTATAATAAATGGAAGAGCTAGATCCACCTTCAATCGGATGGGGGCCTTCTTCAACCGGATGGGGGGAGTCACAACCTCTCTCTTGATACAAAAGTAAGAATGCTGCGATGGTACGGCTTCTCTGTCCTTTTTTATGATGTTGAATCGTGGACCTAGAACGAAGATATGTGCAAAAAACTGGGAGCATTTGAGATGTAGCTATATCGGAGAATACTTAAGATCCTGTGGACTGACCGAGTCACAAATGAGGAGGTCCTCAGGAGAATGAATAAGAACCGAGAGGTACTGACCACCACCAAATTTCGAAAGTTACAGTTCTTCGTACATATTATGCGAAATGAATTCAGATATGCTCTCCTTCAAGTCATCCTGCAAGGAAAAATATGTGGAAAACGAGGTTCAGGAAGAACATCTTGGTTAAAAAACCTCAGAATCTGGTTCAATACAACATCTGTGCAGCTTTTTTGCGCTGCTGCAGATAAGATAAAGATTGCCATGATGATCGCCAACATTCGTAACGGATAGGCACATCAAAAAGAAGACGAACATATGTGTTATGTAACCTCTTCTATAGTATTGTTTTCTTCTAATTTAATTGTTCCTCCCATGACCAGTAGGGTGCATCGAAAAAATAAAAGTTGGAAATGTTGTATCTAATAGTGTGAAAAAGTTAGTGTTTTTTTTTATTATTATTTTTAGCATATTAGTATTTTATTTTTTTTTAAATTAATTTTTCCCCCCCCCCCCAACGACCTTAAACTTTATTAAATATCTGCTTTTTATGGAAATTTGAATTTATTATATTTGGATTAAAATATGTGCTTACTCGATCTAATATCAATTAAATAAAACTTAAAATGTTGTAAATTACACATTTAAATGATATTTAAAATTTCATTTGTTTCTTAAGTGTCCTCTACCCCATTGAAAATTACCGCAAAACGTCTATTTCTACTAATATCTGCTATTCGAAAATTCATAATATGTATGTACTACCAATGAAACAAAATCGGCAACCACGCGTATTGTATAGATCCTGATATTCTAATATCATTGGTCCGAGACACTCCGAGATGCAACGGTTCAATGTCATTGACTCTTGGATAAAATCATTCGAGTAATAATCATTAAAATTCCTGAAAACGGGCCGCAGGACCATCCCAAGACTACCCGAGTGCCTGATTCCCTTATCAGTAAGTGTC